GGTTATAGCTTTCATATAAAAGGTATAAATTAGTTTCATAATAGGGGTGTGTACATTGGATACTTTTCCCTCCATTCTTGTGATACTTTGCTCAGAAGAACATTCTCCAGCTCTATCCATTTGAACATGAAGGACGTAAAGTCTCCGTCAGGTGTTCTTTTGATAAAAGGACTTCATTTCCTTGGGTAGATACGGAGATTATTAGATTGAATAGTAGATCTCCATTTATTTCTTTGAGAAATCTCCATACTGTTTGCTGTAGAGTTGTCCCCAAGCCCCAGGGTGCACACAAGTTCCACTCTATGGTCTCTTAGGAACCAGGCTGCACAGTAGGGGGTGAGTGGTAGGTGGGTGAGCTAGGGAAGCTTCACCTTACAGTTGATCCCATCCCTCCTCTCACTATCTAAGCTCAGCCTCTTAGGAGCATGAACCCTTATCTAAACTGTGCAAGCCGGTGATTTAGGCTGTGCACACTCCTTATGAGAATCTAATGTTTGATGATCTCAAGTGGAGATGCTTGAACCATCCAAAATCATCCACCTCCTCCCTGACTGGTCTGTGGAAAAATTATCTTCCATGAAACCAGTTCCTGGTGCCTAAAAGTTTGGAGACCTTTGCCACAGAGGTTGTATAATTTGCTGTCTCATCAACTTGTAAGTGTTTCTTTATCTTTGTATCTATCGTAGCATCTATTATTTTTGACTTTCTAGTTATAGCCATTCTGATAGGGTGAAGGCAGTGTTATGGTTTTAATTTGCATTTCCCTAATGACGAGGGATATTGAGCATTCGTTTTATTTTTTTGGAGACAGAGTCTTACTTTGTCACCCTCAGTAGAGTTTCTTGGTATCACAGCTCACAGCAACCTCAAACTCTTGGACTGAAGCCATTCTTTAGCCTCAGCCTCCCAAGTAGCTGGGACTCTAGGGGCCCACCAGAATGCCCAGCTAATTTTTTTTTTTTAAGAGACAGGGTCTCGCTCTTGCTCAGGCTGGTCTTGAACCAGTGAGCTCAGGTAATCCACCTATCTCAGCCTCACAGAATGCTAGGATTACAGGCACGAGCCACCTGCACCCAGCCCTTGAATTAATTTTTGTTCATGGTTAGAGGTAGGGTCCTATTTCTTGCACATGTGGTTATCAGTTTTCCCAGCAGCATTTATTGAGTAGGGCTTCCTTTCCCTAGTCTGTGTTACTGTCTGCTTTGTTGAAGGTTTTGTTTAGGTTATATGGGTTTATAGCTGGGTTCTCTATTCTGTTCCATTGGTCTGTATCTCTACTTTTATACTTTTACCATGCTGTTTATAGGCTTATAGTATAATTTGAAATCAGGTAATGTAATACCACCAGGTTTGTTCTTTTTAGTTAAGATTTCTGGCTGGGCACAGTGGCACTCTGGGAGGCTGAGGTGGGTGGATTGCTTGAGCTCATGAGTTAGAGACCAGCCTGAGCAAAAGTGTGACCCCTGTCTCTACTAAAAATAGAAAATCTGAAGTAAGAGGATCGCTTGAGCCCAAGAGTTTGAGGTTGCTGTGAGGTATGATACCATAGCACTCTACCCAGGGCAACAGCTGAAACTGTCTCAGAAAAGAAACAAAGAAAAAAACAGATTTCTTTGGCTATTTGGGACCTTTTTTGGTTCCAAACTGAGTTTAGTATTTTGTTTTCTAGATCTGTGAAACATGAGCCTGGTATTTAGATAGAAGTTGCATTGCATTTGTAAGTCACTTTGGGTAGTAGGGCCATTTTGGTGATGTTGTTCTGTCAGTCCTTGAGCAGGGTGGTTTCTCCATTTGGTTGTGTCATCTGATTTCTTTCATCAGTATTTTGCCATTCTCCTTGTAGATATCTTTAAAGGTCTTTATTCATACATATTTTATTGTCCCTGGACTTCATATCTGCCCCATGTTTCAGCCTGGACAGCTCTATTTTATCTGTGTATGATTTATAAATTTTTTTGTTGGGCAGTGCCTGTGGCTCAGTGGGTAGGGTGCTGGCTCCATATACTGAGAATGGTGAGTTCCAGCCCCAGTCAAACTGCAACAAAAAAATAGCTGGGCGTTGTGGTGGGAGCCTGTAGTCTCAGCTACTTGGGAGGTTAAGGCAGAGAGAATTGCCTAAGCCCATGAGTTAGAGGTTGCTGTGAGCTGTGATGCCATGGTACTCTACCAATGGTGATAAAGTGAGACTCTGTCTCTACAGAAAAAAAAAAAAATTTGTTGACAGAGAATTCATAGTAACATAACATTCACCATTTTAAAGTGTAACGTACAGTGAGTTTTTAGTACATTCAGTATGTTGCACAATTATTGCCATTATCTCATTGCAGAACATTTCCATCCCCCAGATGAAGCCCTATACATAATAGGAGTTAGTTGCA